GGGCAAATTACTTAACCTTGCTCAGTGACCATTTCCTTACCTACAAAGAGCAGATGTGATGAAAATGGTAGGCTTTATCACAGGACTACACCAAAGACCAAGGGAGAGCCTATGACAAGCATTCCAGGGTTAATGAACGATCAGATAACATGCCAGCATCTCTGCCAGGCTCAGAGAGAGCCCAGGAGTGTTACTGTGGCCATGGCACTGCATGTGAAAGTCCCTGGCACGGCTCCTGACCTTCAGGGAGGCAGCGTGGTATGATGTGTGTGCACGGCCCACCCTATGCGTTCTCCGTGGGGTTGGGATGGTGCTGATACTTTTAACTTACTACATCTGCTTTCTCTTTGGGCTTATGTTGTTGCCTGTGAAATGGGGAGTTGGACTTATTTGTTTCCCCAAATCCATTTCAGTTTTTTTTTTCTTTTCCTGTTTTTGGAGAGGTTTTTGCTATAGGGCACGTGCGCTCGCCAGACAGACAGAGAGAGACAGAGAGACAGAAAGCGAGAAATCACCCCCAGGGGGGATGGTCACGCCACAATCCCTTCTCTTCCATTTTCCTCTTGGGATCTTGGGTACGCACACACACACATGCCCAGCATGAGTTTTAAGCCACCGGGACCGGGACGCAAACCGCGGTTGACTACGTGGGAGTCCAGCGACATAGCCATTACGCTAACTGCTGGTTCCCTTTTTTTTTTTTTTTAAGAGAGATTTTTGTTATATAGCATGTGCACTCGCTGGAGAGACAGAAACAGAGAGGCAGAAAGCGGGAAGTCACCCTCCCCCCGCCCCAATGGAGGATGGCCGCACCAGAATCCCTTCGCCTCCATTCTCCTCTAGGGATCATGGGCATGCACACACATGCGTCTGGAACTCCAACTGCAGTTGGCTATGTGAGAGCCTTACACCATCTTCTGATCTCAATCCATTTCAGTTTTACCACACAGAGTTTAACATCTAAAATGATATTTATAAAAGGGTACCTGTCTACTCCCTTCATCTGGTCAGGACACAGCAAAGAGTTAATTCTGTACAAGTTAAAAGGAGGGGAGGTTAGTGAGACCTGTTGTAGTCGTAGGGCCTTCCAGAAGGTCTGCCTGCTTGCGGTTTTTTGTAGCGGTTTCACCCTCCGCCCTCTGCCCTGAGGTTCTTGGGCCTTCCTCCTATAGCCCCTCTCACTGGCTCCTTGCACACCCCCCAGCCAGCAGCTGCCCTTGCCTCCCTGCAGATGTTTCCAGTTTGCAGATTGCATGGTGCTCATGTCGGTCATTTGTTCCATTTGCTCAGAAACAACAGCCAGCATTATCGGCAGGAAAAGGAGAGGGTGCCAACTCCAGGACAACACAAAAAGCCCTAGTCATGGGCACTGGGCAAGGGTGGGGCGGGGGGAGGCAGAGAGCACAGGCTGGATCTTTCGCAGTGACCCAGAGTTCTGTCGCCCCCGCTGAAGTCATGGTTGCTGAAGCAGTGTCTAGCTTTTCTCTGGGAATGACCAGAGCCGGTCAGCTGGCTCATCTTGGGGAAGGGGAAGGGACAGAATGAGGTGCTATCTTGGAGGCCTGGAAGAAGTGGGAGTCTGGCTCTATGGCCCAGCCCTGAGGCTAAACCCTCTATCTAGAAAAAAATTCTATATTTTGTTCCCTTGGAAATCAAGAACGATTTCATGGTTAATGCAAGATTAGAGAATGTTTGATATTTAGGGTCAAGTGCAAATGCAAATAAATATAATGCACATTAAATTATGGGTCTTCAGTGTCCCCTTGTTTGCCATGCAGCTGTTTTGGCAGGAGTTGGTTGTAATATTGCCCTTCTTGCTGTTATCCAGCAACTCTTCCACCCAGCACAGGAGGAGGCCTCTTGAGAGTAGTGAATGGTGCTGAGTGATTTGCCAGGCCTTCCAGAAGGAATGACATACAAAAAATGGAAACTATGATTATTACTCTGGATAATCTGGCCCTGGAGACTATGTCCTCAGAAGACTTCATCTGCAATAGTCTGAGGGACTCTTGGGAACTGGTGACCTGGCAGGCTACGTGGATGGACTGCACACTGTCCATCTCCAAGCTCACAGAGAACTCAGCAGCAGGGCTGTTGAGGGGCCCACCCAGTAGGTCTACTTATGCTGGCAAACCAGTGGGCTAGTGTGGAGAAAAGAGGAGAGATCACCATCTCCCTGTAATCTCTTTTGGATGCTTGCAGTTTCTGAAGCCAGGAGACCATTAGGGGATTTGGAACAGGGGTAGAGTCCTTCCAGTAAAAGACTGGGAATCAGAGCTGAAGAAACACAGGACTGAGGGAGCACGCCCTTATGGACTCACAGCAAGTCTGCATCTCACAGTTGGGGAAGGGGTGGTGGATACCGAGGGATTTTCCTTTCATTCAGCATCTACAGAGCTCCTCATACGTGGAGCCCAGGCTGGGTTACTGGAGAGGCCACGGTGGTGAGTCATATTCCTGGTAAATGCCCAAGGGGCTGGTGCAGGGATACCAGATTCTCTGCCAGCTGCCAGGCCTATGTTCCTTCACTCAGTCCTCAGAGAGAGATTTTTCTCACTTATCAAAGGGTAAATGAAAACACAGAGAGATGAAGTAATTTGGCCAAGGTAATCCATTTAGAAACAGAGCTCAAAACAAGAAAAACACGGTAGGGGCCTGATGGTGCTTTCTACCCTGGAGCACGTCAGGATGAGAGTGGAGCCGGACACGCCGTGTAAAGAGGCACTGGCGTGCATGTTTTGTGTCTCATTGTAGCTGATCATCCTTGGGCACAGGCTGGGTGCTGTAGTTCTGGAAGGACACTGCTGCTGTGGGGTAAAGCAGCCCTCTCCTACACCCTCCACTGCACCCTTCAGCAGGGATTGACAGGCAGCCTGGCCAAGGAGCACGTGCAGGGATGAAGAAGGACGAGTGAACCACATGCTCCGTCAGATGGCTCCAGACTGTTTGGCTGGGGATTCAGAGATAGGGACCAGAACGACAACAGAGCCAGTGGAATGGCTTGCTAATAAAGAAATCTGGCTGCCGGTTCCAGTTCTGACCTTGAGCTAGTCAGCCAGGGCATTCATCTCCTTTGGGGCTTTGTCTCACCAAATACGCTGTGTCCTAGAAACCTCATCCTGAACACAGTGACGTGGGGCGAGATCAGTGATCGGGGCAATGTGTCAGCCTCAGAGGCCAGCCACACTCAGAGGTGCCTCTAGGTCCTGAGATTGAGCAGCCGCAAGACAAACATGGGGACAGGCCAAAGACAAGCAGATGAATCCAGAGTTCTGACTCTAGGGAGTGTGACAGAAACAAACAGGGTGGGATGACGAAGTGTGTGTGTGTGTGTGTGTGTGTGTGTGTGTGTGTGTATGCATGGGTAAGGGGCATCATCTTAGAGATGTCCCACAGATAAGAGAATGAAATGGGCTATTGTATGCAAAAATGCCGAAAGCATAAACCATTCTCTCCAAGGGCCCCTTTAACTAGATCCCACAGGTCACATGATTTTTCTGTCTGTACTGGCTTGGGATTGAAATGAAAAGATAGAGAAACATATTTTTGCTGAGGAAGACATTTTCCTTTATCCCTCCTGATTCTTCACTGGGTGTAGAGAGGTGGGTCAACATTCTTGCAGGTAAGAAGACAGACCTGAGGATGATACATTAGACATTCAGCTAGAATTTATCTCAGGTCTCCTATGTGCCAGATACTATTTCAGGCTCTTGGTGCCTTTGAGAGAAGAGTGGGAGGGAGATACGAAGATGCATAATTGGTTCACTTAAGGAGTTTACTAGCTAGTGAGAGAAGCAGTCATGTAAACAAATAACTACAAAATCGCATATACGTGCTCCAATAGAGCAGTGTGTAAGATGATGTAGGAGTTCCAAAGAGGAAGCTATTAGCTCAGCCTGGTAGTAACTTCAATCCTTTGTGGAAGGGGGGGGTGTACATAAATAAAAACACTTTCAATTCTACCTGGGAGAATCATGGCATTGCTCTGCACAGCAATATTCCTAAGAGAGCATTTACTAAGCATTGCTGGCTATTGGTGCCTCGAGTGTTGTACTGAAAGTTATACCTGAAAGACTCATTTAAAATAAGAGGGCATTTTCAATGTCATGTTTTTGTTTTCCTGCTACCCAAGCTGATGATCTAAAATATAATCGTGGGCCACTTATGGTAGAAAAATATCCTTACCCCCAAACCATTTAAGAATCCCTGTATGAACAAATAATCAATGCTATGGCTTGTGTCCCCCTGAAAGTCAAGTGTTGAGATATGGCTGTGATAGTATTACGAGAACACTTAATACCTCCATGGGCAAACCTGGTGGAAATACAGGGTCAGAGCTGCCACAGAGAGTCTCCTCTAGGGAAAAGTCTAGTGGAGCCACAGGGATGGGTCTGCCTTCAAGACTCCAGAACTGCACAGCTATCAACATGCAATGCTAGCCTTAAAGAACTGTAGGTATGAGTCTGAGACTCCAACCGAAGAGAGCTAAAGCATGGGCTGTCTAGCAAGACCAAGGCATGAGGCTGCCTGATGCTCTGGGGGCTTGATCCTCTCAGTGCCTTCAGGATATGGCACATGGAGGTTCAAGACCCAATGTCTGTCCTCCTGGATTTCAGAAGCTCTTGGTGCCTATTACTCTTTCTTCTGTGGTTTGTGAATTTCTACCCTGTGCCCGTTTCACCACTGTATTTTGGCGTATGTAATTTGTTGGGATTTCACAGGCTTATGACTGGAAGGAATTTGCCTCAGATGATACGTTGGACTTTGGACTTTTGAATTGGTGCTGGAACGAGTTAAGACTTTTTGGGTTGTTGGGATCATTTTGTATGGGAAAGAGACATGCATTTCTGGGGCTAGGAGAAGAATGCTATGGTTAACGTCTCCCCCAGAATTCTTATGTTGAGATTTGGCTGTGAAAGTGTTAAGAGAAAACTTGATGTCTTCATGATGTCCAAAGTTGGGGCTCTTGGGAGTGATTAAGTGATTATGATCTGTTTCAGCGGGTTTATAAAGAAAGGGGATGGAGCACAGGCATGCTTTCCTACTCTCTGCATGTTGGAATGCAGCAAGAGACCTCACCGAAGGTGGCCCATGGACCCTGGATCTCCAAACCGAACATAAATAAATTCTATTCTCTTAAATTACAGACTCAGGTATTTTCTGTTATTAGCAACAGAACAAACTAGAACAATCGACTTGCAGATAAACGTTCAAACTGAATGCTAATGCTCCTTCCGTTGTTAATTTCATGTATTCATTATTTATACCTTGCATACTTCCAAAAGGATGTGAAGCTACTTGTAATGAAGGAACAGAGCATGACAAAATTATTAAAACACCAGGAGCTAAGGGATGATATTGGGCATTTAAACACCCTGAAATACCTAAGCAAACTGAGCACAAGCTCTGAGCCTCCTGGCTGCCCATGCAAAAATAAATTGTACAATGTTCCCCCATTAACCAGTTGGACAAAATAGGGTACTTTATTAAGAAAAGCAATCTCTTTCAACCACTCCTCAGAGAAAGTTGTCCTGTGAAACTTTACATAAGAGGTACAGCAACAGTCAGTACCTTCAGTTATGATGAAATGCTGAGATATGCTTCATATGACAGTTTTCGATATTAACCTTTAATAAGAAGGAGAGGGAATAAGGTTATCTGGGAAGGCATTTCAGCAGGGAACTAAAGTAATATGATTTCACTGTCACTGTCTGATCATGGACTAGATGCAGGAGCAGCGTAGAGAGCGCGGAGGAAGTGCTGGGTGGCTGCTCTCCCCCTGGCCCGGAATAACCATCTTCCTCGCTGAGCTTTGAGAAGAGACGGGAGCAGAAAATTGATACAAATGCATTGCCCCCACTAGCTGGCCCGACTTGCGAGGGCTTACCCATTAACATACTGGAGAATTTCTGCCCAAAATGGCAATTTGGGTTTTGGCAAATTTGATATTGGACTGTTCTGTTGTGGTTCATTGGAAAGAGCCAGGGCTTTGAAGCCAAGGCAGACTTGGGTTCAGGTCTCAGTTCTGCCATTGGCTGGCTGTCTTGCCCAGAGTAAGTCGCTCAATTACCAGCAAGCCTTAGTTTCCTCATCTGTGAAAGGGACCTCATAATACTTGCAGAGTGGGTATAGAAGTATAAATGATGTGTGTAAAACATCTGACGAAATTCCTGGCACATGTTAATTGTCATTCTATCAATGGCAGCTCGATAATAATTATGTAGGATCTCTTAGAGTAGAAGACAGATATCATCAATATAAGGGAGACTGCAGCCAGATGGTGATGCCATGGTGAAACACAATGCTCTGTGAGGAAATCCCACATGAAAAGGTTCCCACTTCAAGTCTAGAGACCTCCCTGAGTACTCTGGGCACACACATGCCCATGATCTGGAGGTTGAGGGTGGATTGCACCATCAAGACCCCATTTCTGGCACCTATTTCTATATCTCTCTCTTACTCAAGGAAGAAATAAACTTATAAAAAAAAATAGAGGAGGTACTTACCTCCCACTATGCCAGGAGGGTTTGCATCTAATTCATTAAGGAGTTTTGTCACATTTGTTAGATAGAAGGTTAAAAAGAAGGAGCCAGGACATATCCCTGCTATAAACATTTAGAATCAGCAATTGCTCTACCCAGAGTCCATTCCTACATTTTCTAGGATAAAGGATCCATAGTTGACTAGAAATCAGGGGAAAAGACCTGACCCTGTGGGAGATACCTGACAGGTCACCCAGGTACAGTGATTAGAAGCCTGAGGCTGAGACAAAGAAGATCAACAGTGAGGAGACACAGGGGTGTCCAGAGAAATCGTAGGATCTGAAAGACAGGAAACTCTTCAGTGAAATAAAGACTGGCCAGGGGGTCCTGTGCCCATAGGAGGGGTGCCAAGGGGAGCGCCAGTAACGGGTGTGCTTCAGAGAGCAGAAAATCCCAGGGAGACCTCCTTCACTCCTCTGATAGACTCTGTTCTCATCTCAGGTGGGGAGACCAGGGTCTGGACTTCCATCCTGGCCCTGTTTCTTACCAGTCGTACAATCTTGACATTACTCAACTTCTCTGCCTCGTTTTCTCCTTGTGATGTTGTTAATTAAGGAGGTGGAGTGTGTGAGAGGCTTCGCATGTTATAAAGTAAAACGCCAACAGGTACCCCTCCTTTCCCTTTGTTGTCCAGGTTACTCACCACATTGTAACGGGGTCCTATTGTTAGTTACTGTTAATCTCTCCTGTGCCTGATGTAAATGACACTGTATTACAGGTATATGTGTATAGGGGAAAACGGCATCTACAGGGTTCAGTGCTCTCCATTTCAGGCATCCACTGGAGTCAGCCAGGGGAGAAGGGGAAACTGCCGTGCTGTTTTTATTAGAATACTCTCAGGTTGAAAGGTGAGTCAAGAGGACGGAATTTAGTACTGTCCAAGAATATCCTACGGACTGGGTTGGATTTAGGGAGTTAGCTGTCTACGCTTGTAACCCTTGCCCTCCCTTAACGGTCCCTTCTCTCCCTGCGCGCCCGGTCTCCCCCGCATCCGAGGTCTCTGGCTAAGCCGGTCCAGCTCTTCCTTAGGGCTGTTTCTTTCCCGGTGGCGGCAGAGACGTGCTGCCCTCAGGTGGCCACCGCTGAGCATAGCGCCTCCGACAGACAGGAAGCCTTTCAGGCGCTGAGGCTCCTGCTACCGCTCTAGGACGCAGGCAGTTGAAAGACCTGCCTAGAACCTAGAACGCCTTAGAGGCAGCTGAATCCTTCTCCAGAATCTCCACTAGTGCCCGGAGGCCTTCTGACACACTCGCATACATCCTTTACAGGGCAGGATTTCCTGTTACTCAGAGTGAAAGAACCTTGACCTCGATTTTCAGGCTCACCTCTCCCTTCCCTTCACACCGGCACCAAGTGGGACTTTGACTCCTTGCGTATTGCTGGAGGGGCTTCAGTGGCTGGCCCTGGTGAGAAGCCCGGTAGAGACAGTAGCTTCCGTCGGCCACTTGGGGAAGCTATCTGAAAGGCCAGACCCTCATCTCTGGCTTGACTGAGAGGCAGAGGAGGGAGGGCGACTCTGAGATCTTCCTGAGCCTCTGCTGTTGGCGAGCTCTGCAAAATAGGACTTTGGGGAAGTGGCATTGGGGCCAAGAGGAAGTGAGCCACTGGTGTGTACAGCTCTGCAGGCAGCAGTCGAATCAGTGAGCTAGCCACGGGGCACAGCCCACCTTCTGCCTGTCCCACGTCCTGTCTCAGTGGCAGCCTGGACCTGCTCTGGACTCCAGAGGTCCTTTGCCTGGACTCCTGTTAACACTGCCCTTTGCTGTTGTTGCAGGCTGGTAGCTGGAGTTTCTAGGCTTTTCTGAGAGGCTGCAAAGGATCAGATGAGCTGTGTCTTGGGCCAGTTTCTCAGAGTGTTAAGCAGAACCCAAGGGCAGGATTGTGGCATTGTGGTTAAGCTGTGCTCTTATGCATTGGTGTCAAGCCAGCTCCAGACCAAGATCTGGATGTCAATGAGGCCTGTCCCCAGGACTGCAGTCACTTTTCCTGCCATTCAGGCTGAGTTCCTTCCAGATCTTTGCCTTCTCATGTTGTTCAGGTTCTTTTAGTAGAATTGAAAACAGTCAAGACCCTTTTAGGTAGAAAAATCTCCTGAACCACAGTTCACTTACAATTTCACTATTATTATTATTTTGGCACTCTGATCCAAAAATGTTTTTTTTTTTTTTTGAGAGGTTTTTGCTA